CCTAGATTTATATCGTTTCGCGCTAAAAACTGTGAACACAAGTGGTTTCATAATGGATATTGCTGTTTTTATGTATATATATATATATATATATATATATATATATATATATATATATATATATATATATATATATATATATGATGACACTATATTCCGGGATATCATCCGTTCGCTCGTTGAACTCCGACTGGAATCCTGCATCCGACTGGAATCCTGCAAATCTTGCATCCGACTGGAATCCTGCAGACGTTTCGCCAAAATCTCACTTGGCATCTTCAATGCTCGCGTTCCGAAAACACTTCGAACACTGGGAGGTTATCGGCGGTGCGTGCGGTATTTATACTCTGCGCCGGAGATGGTAACGGTGCTGCTTATGCGTGGGGGGAGGTGGCTCCGCCCCCTGAATTGTCGCGTTGTTAATTTCGCCCGATCGTAGTTGCGATGTTCCCGTTGGCTGCTGCGCATCGCTCTGCTGTTTGATTATCGTTCTCCACGTGTTGGATAAATGCAGAGCGTCGTCTCTCGTATTGAGGTGTCCGGACTTTTCTATTTCGATGGCCTCTCGTATAATCCTAGTCCTAAAATCAGGAATATTAGCTATTTGTTTGCAAGTGCCGAAATCAATTTTATGGCCTGTCTGATGTTGGTGCTGAAACAAAGCAGATGTTGTTTGTTTGTTTCTTATGGCTAAACGATGTTCCTCGAGCCTGGCTGAAATCCTTCTGTTGGTCTGTCCCACATACGTCAGGCTGCACGATCCGCATGCTACACTGTATACTCCTTGGTTTTCCAGAGTAATTTTTTGTTTTGGGTTTCTTAGTATTGCTCCGATGGTATGGTCAGGTTTGTATGCCGTTGAGATGTCGTTTTTCCGTAATATTCGGCCGATTTTGTCAGTAACCCCCTTGATGTATGGCAGGACAGCGATCGATCTTCGTTGGGTCTCGTCCTGCACTCTCTGCTGCGGCTGTTGTTGTTTACTGATTGCCTTGCTGATGGTGCGCCTTTGGTATCCGTTTTGTCGAAGACAGGTACTAATTTTCTTCAGTTCTTTATCTCTGTTCCTCTCGTTTGTGAGCCTGAAGGACCGAGCAATTAATGTATTTGCCACTGCCTGTATCTGTGATGGGTGGTGATGAGATTTAGCGTTCAGATATCTATTAGTGTGTGTTGGTTTTCTATAGACAGTGTGTTCCAAGTGTCCATCTTCGGTCCTTGTGATGAGCACATCTAAAAAGGGCAGACTGTTATCCTCTGCCCTTTTTAGATGTGCTCATCACAAGGACCGAAGATGGACACTTGGAACACACTGTCTATAGAAAACCAACACACACTAATAGATATCTGAACGCTAAATCTCATCACCACCCATCACAGATACAGGCAGTGGCAAATACATTAATTGCTCGGTCCTTCAGGCTCACAAACGAGAGGAACAGAGATAAAGAACTGAAGAAAATTAGTACCTGTCTTCGACAAAACGGATACCAAAGGCGCACCATCAGCAAGGCAATCAGTAAACAACAACAGCCGCAGCAGAGAGTGCAGGACGAGACCCAACGAAGATCGATCGCTGTCCTGCCATACATCAAGGGGGTTACTGACAAAATCGGCCGAATATTACGGAAAAACGACATCTCAACGGCATACAAACCTGACCATACCATCGGAGCAATACTAAGAAACCCAAAACAAAAAATTACTCTGGAAAACCAAGGAGTATACAGTGTAGCATGCGGATCGTGCAGCCTGACGTATGTGGGACAGACCAACAGAAGGATTTCAGCCAGGCTCGAGGAACATCGTTTAGCCATAAGAAACAAACAAACAACATCTGCTTTGTTTCAGCACCAACATCAGACAGGCCATAAAATTGATTTCGGCACTTGCAAACAAATAGCTAATATTCCTGATTTTAGGACTAGGATTATACGAGAGGCCATCGAAATAGAAAAGTCCGGACACCTCAATACGAGAGACGACGCTCTGCATTTATCCAACACGTGGAGAACGATAATCAAACAGCAGAGCGATGCGCAGCAGCCAACGGGAACATCGCAACTACGATCGGGCGAAATTAACAACGCGACAATTCAGGGGGCGGAGCCACCTCCCCCCACGCATAAGCAGCACCGTTACCATCTCCGGCGCAGAGTATAAATACCGCACGCACCGCCGATAACCTCCCAGTGTTCGAAGTGTTTTCGGAACGCGAGCATTGAAGATGCCAAGTGAGATTTTGGCGAAACGTCTGCAGGATTCCAGTCGGATGCAAGATTTGCAGGATTCCAGTCGGATGCAGGATTCCAGTCGGAGTTCAACGAGCGAACGGATGATATCCCGGAATATAGTGTCATCACATTTTTCCATCCGTGAATCAATACGTGAATATATATATATATATATATATATATATATATATATATATATATATATATATATATATATATATATATATATATATATATATATATATATATATATATATATATATATATATATATATATATATATATATATATATATATATATATATATATATATATATTATGGAACACCATTGCTCCTTTTTTAGTTTTTTTTTTAACGTTAATACATGTAAACTTCCAAATGCTTTACCTCTCGATAACTCGCAAGTGTTATATATATGCAATGTCGCCATAAGTCGCCGGATATGTCAAAAACAGTTATATTCTTATCCCTTCATGATTAGATTTAAATGCGCGTATTTTCCAATAGCAATATCAACGTAACGTTTTATTAAAATAATTATTTATATCATTGTTTTTGTTATAGTGTATTATATATCTAGGGACTACAATGCCACTGTGTATCCCGAGGCACTAAAAAAAATAAATAAAAGAAAATGTACACAAAAAAAACGTAGGGTTATTTTTTTTCTTTTGTTGCAGACCAAATAGTCAAATGCACGTTCACGAGGATGTACCTTTTTAATACTTCGTTATCCAAGAAAGCAGACAAAAATTCGGAAAAAATCTGAAATCTTAGCCGAGTTGACAGTTCCTTTGCCCAATAAAGAGATCGAGACTACCAACTGGGAAAATCGGAGACACGGTAGGAAGTTCAGTGAGTATTGGAGGCAAACTTTTAGTTCTAGATCAAAATTAGTAGCTAAGCACCAGGGATGGCTTAACATGACAGAAATTTGTGAACTTCCGCTTGCCCAACTTATTCTGCCGGATGAAGTAGGCAGAAATCCAGCAGGTCCCCGACGATCAAGAGCCGCCAACAAGCAAGCCAAAAAGATTTTCGAAAGAGTTTGAAGAATGAAGAAAGAACTCTCTTTGCAAGAAGAAGCGTATTTTGAAGACAAAATTAAAAATTTGAAGCCAACAATCTTTAAATATGGCGTGAAGAAAAAGTAGAACATTATTTACAATTGACAATGGTTGACGGTAAAGTATGTTGCTCCCTAGCGGAAACTTTGTAAAGTAGGTGTTACATTTGCAATGAACGATATTGAGGAATGTTTAAGCAAAACTGTCGATACCCACAATTTTCGTTTTGGTTTATCTCCCCTCATGGATTAGGTTTTTTGAATATTTTATACACCTATCATACAAGCTAGATTTTAAAAAGCGGCAAGCTAGATTGCAAAATGAAAAGGTATTTCTTGTAGAGAGAAAATCGCGGATTCAAAAAGATTTTAGGGAAAAGTTGGGCTTAATTATAGATAAACCGAGAATTGGAGGAAGTGGGACATCAACGATTGTAATACTGCGAGAAAAATTTTTACAAGTTATGATGTTTCAGCTGAAATAACTGGTCTGGATAAAGATTTTATCAAGAGATGTTGTATTCTTTTGCAGGCTTTGGGCTTTAGCTATAAAATTAATTATATAAAATATTAGAATTACGCTATAGAAACAGCAAAAGACCTTGTAAAAAATTATCCGTGGTATTATCTACCTGCCTCCGTGCACAAAGTTCTCGTGCATGGATCTAAGGTTATTGAAAATGCACTTCTATCGATGGGGGAACTTTCGGAAGAAGCTGCAAAATCTTCAAATAAAAATCTTAATTTATGTAGACGTGAAAATACAAGAAAAATGTCTCGTGTTCTTACAAACCCAGATCTTCTTCATCGAATGCTTTTAAATTCCAATCCTTTTATTTCTAGTTTAAGAAAACTACTTAAAAGTAGTAAGTCCATTTTACTTCTAAAATTAACAGCCATAAATGATTATTTGTAATGAATCTTTCAGTTTTATTACAAGACTCAATATAAAATTATAAATTCTATTTAATTTCAATTCGGGAGTAATTAGCCATAGGCATAGCAATAATGAGGGTTCAGGAACAATTTATAATGATTCCTTAGACTTTTTTTCCACACTTTTGTGTTTTATTAAAATAATGTATTTTTCATATCCACACGTCCCATAAGACGAGACCACTGTGCACTATTAAAAAATCCTTTCAGTCTTTCCTAAATTTCGACTAGTTTCGCAAATTTGCGATGATGGGTTGTTTTTAGATAAAAAAATTAACATTGAAAGTTTTATTATTTTTTTAAGCTTCCAGCTTCCAACTTCCAGCTTCCGTTGCATTTCTTCCAATTGGGAACCCAGTTTTTCCGGATGCCGCATTTTCGTAAATAGATTTTTTCAAATTATACTCCACAGTATTCAAATCTCAAATATTTTTGTTAGCATGTTATCACATTTATTATAAAACTAATTTCACATAAACATACTAAATTTCGTAAACAGATCTAATTATATCCTTGTGGTTATAGTGTAAAAAAATTATTCCACTCTTATTCATGAAATTTCGACAATTTTTCTAAACTTTATTTTCGAAATTTATGAATGGCAAAAAATATTTAACCGTCAATGATGTCAATATAACAGTACTGCAGATACGAATTAGTTGGAAAAACGAGATATAGTAATTAGAATCTTTATATGGGTCAAACGCAAAGACTAATAGCATAGTTTATTGATTTCCCTTGCGATTTAAAAAATAAAGGAACGCTCAGTTGTATAGTTTATTCGTTATTTGATGTTAATTGCAGTAGATTCTACTTTTTCTTGTATTTTGCGCTCCCGGGTTTATTCGTAGGCCAAAACCAGGAAAAATAGGATTCCGTATAGTCCCTTTTTGTATATTCGTATTCCAAATACATACGCACTAGCGTTAATATGCTTATCGAAAAACAAACTACAGCGCAAAAGTTAAAAAATGCATAAAAATAGTCGTTTTCTGACCAGTTCTTCAATCGTTCCGACAGCTCGTGTCGAATATCTTCTAGAGACAGTTTGAACTTATTCCTGAAACAATTAAAATTATTGCAATTAATCGTTTTAATAACACTGGCGCAGCTGGTTTTTCCAAGTGAAAGAAGACCAGACATTCCTTATTGTTTACGTGGCTAACACAAGATCACATTCTAAAAGGATATGTCAAATTTTTAATATATTACATACTCTTGTGTGTTTCGACATTTATTTTTTATTGTTTATCGTGGGTAGATTGTTATTGTTACGTTGCGGGTTTTTCGATTTTTAGGATTACTGCGGATTTCTGAACAAAAATTGGAACCTCAGGATTTTTTAATAGAATAATTTGAATTTGTTCTTAATTTAGCTCTCGCTTGCAGGGGACGCTACTCTTTTTCACTCTTCTCACTCTATTACTTCAAACCAAAACATTGCGGCTGCTCTCAGCGGAATTATTTGTTACAAAAAACCAAAAATAAAATAAAACGTTGGCACCCTGCATCTCGAAAACGAAGCATTTTGAACCACATGGCTTCAATATATTAAAATCAACCTGTGCAACATCGAACACAAATTAAATGACACCCTGTATAACCTGAATGTAACAGAATGTCCTAGTAAGAGCAACTACGAATATTACGAAATTTGAAGGAAAAAAAATTAAATCGGCCAAAAGACAGGGCTGGAAATTATATACGAGTTTCTGAAATGTCTACCATAGGGTTATCTCGAATTTTAAAAATTTCTAATATCAATAAAAAGATTCAAATCTTTTTTGTTATTATTTGATGGGATTCCCAAAAAATGTCAGCAGTTGGACCCCTTCAAAGGAATTATAAAAAAAATAATAAACATAAATAATTACATTTTATTTTAAATATCATTTGGGAATCGTAACGTTTTATTTAAGTTAAATTTTCGATTACCCCCAACACATTAATAATAATAATAAAAATAATAATAATATTTATTTCCATTGACTTTTAACAAAAGTATCGGATAATGTCAACAAGTAAAAAAAAAAGTACATAAGAACACTAAAATACAAACTTTAAAAGCAGATACGTACAAACACACAAAGTATATCACACTGGAAGATCGACATTACTACAATCAAAGTATTCTTCGATAGAATAAAAAACGTTCTTATTCAAAACTGGCTTTAATTTTTGCTTAAATAAATGGACAGGCAATATCTGTCTGACGGACAAAGGCAATTTATTATATAGTTTTATTGGTAAAATCATAGGGCTGTTAGCTACTTTGGCTTTGGCTTTGACTTGGCACCTGCAAATTAATATTAGCTCTAAAATTGTAATCTCCATCAATTCTGGTCATGCAATAATTAGATAGATTATCCTTTATGTAAATTATGCTATTTAATATAAAGAGAGAGGGAAACGTTAAAATGTTTAATTTTGGGAACAGTGATCTACAAGAGTGACCACGAGACTTCAACATTGTTCGAACAATACGTTTTTGTTGGACAAAAACTTCACTAGCTCTGGAAGAGTTTCCCCAGCATATAATAGCGTAAGATAAGCAAGATTGAACATATCCGAAATAATACAATAGTAAAAGCTCAAGATCCACATTCGACCGCAGTCGCCAAATAACAAAAGTATGCCTAGCCATTTTATTTAATACGTAGTCAATTTGGCCTGTCCAGGACAAATTACTGTCTATGAACAAACCCAAATACTTGACAACGTTAGTCTGATTAATCGATTTACCCTGCATTCTAACCAATAAGCTCTTGTTCAAATCCCTAAGCGAAAACAACATCATCTCAGTCTTTGTCCCGTTCAAACAAATACCGTTACGCTCACAATATCGGGTCATACCACTTACTGCCCTAGTGAGATCTTCCAGATTCCTAGATGACACTGCCAGAACAGTATCATCGGCATATAAGGAAACATAATTGTCTGGGAAAGAATCAGATATATCATTAATAAATGTTATAAATAATAAAGGTCCCAGTATGCTTCCCTGTGGGACACCGCTGATGAGGTCCGAATTGGCCTCAGCTTTGAAATAGTACGCACTTTAACTATGGTTAACATTATAAATTTTTGTAGAAATCGAATTTATGCCCACCGAGTGACCATTTCAGAAACTCCAAATAATTTTCCAGCATTTGCTCTTGGCCGATTTAAAAACTTTTTGTTTCAAATTTATTGGACCATCTGTTACGTCGTTACCTTTGCTGAGACACCCGGTATATGTAAAACACATTCTGAAAATACTTACGAGAATGTTCGAGCTAGTATATTATTCCTAAAAGATATATTTGAAAGTGGAGCCGCACTTCCAAGACTAGATTCGATTTTCTTAACAATCATTTCCTCTTTTAGGCTGTTCGCGTCCAAATTCGCCTCTTCGTCCTCTTCTTCTTCGCGCACTTGTTTATGAAGTTGTTCAACTACGGCCTCGTGGGCAAAATCCTCCTTAATTTTCAACAGTTCTCCGCCCAGCCTAGAAGAAAATTATTTGGAGGCGTGGCTGATATGCTTGTTACACATTGAAGCACTTCAGTATAAATTGTTTCTTACTCTAATCGATTAGGTCTTCCGCCTTTTGTCAGCGAGGTAGCTCTAATCGACAAATCAGATGTTCTCCTGCTGAGTTTGTTAGCGTTCTGATCATGCGCCGTATTGACCGTCCCAAGGCTAGCCCGCCTTCTGGTTATAAATTTTCTATTGGCGTTTAGAAGCAGTTTTTGGGGTGCAGCCGGATTGGCAGAGGGATTTTCAGGAACTCCCTGTAATACCCGCCTAAAAATCAATCAAACTTTGAAACGAATTATCAAAAACATTTTTTCTGATGATTTATTAAGTTTAATTTGGTTCCGTACTTTCAGTTTCAACCCATTTAGTCCCACTGGTGGGTTAATGCACCACCTATTCTATGATTCTTTTTTGTCACATCTAGGAAACATTTTTGCACATCCATTTAAAAATTTTATTATTATCACTACTAAATGACATAATACCATAGAAATCGCTAATTTATGTCTAAAGGAAAGATCTTATACATGACTTCAAAAGTTAACAAAAGTGGTACATCAATTTGTATCACATTTTCAAGTAAATCCAAAATAGTAAAGAAACATGTTTTGGATTTGTATTGCCATTTTTGTTAAGTCTATAGCATGTAGATTATATCGCAGAAAACATACATTGGAAATACTATATCGATTATACTTTATTTTTTGAAAATATTTACTAGTGCGTGAATGCACCACTGGTTTTATCTGTGAAACAAAACTTTGTTATTGCAAGTCTAGACAAGTCAGCGCATATAGAATAAACATACAATAATTAGCGTTTCCTTTAGTATTGGTTTGTGCCTTGTGCAGTGAACGTTACAGTTCGTAAAATATGGCATTTCCGAGGTATTTGACTCAAAAGGAATTAGAGGCGGCTATGGAGGAGATCGTGATGGCTGAGGACAATAACAATGAAAGTCGTAAGTATTATTTGGATTTACGTATTCTTATGTATTTTAGCATTCCATTCCTTGCAAATTTATGCTAAAAATAACGTGAAAAAATATTTGCAGAACATATTGACGCGGTCTATATTCCACCCGACGTGGATCCCTTGACTGACGAAGAAGATCATAAAGGATAACACAAATCTACAAAAGTTTAAGGAACCAACCGAGATAGTAGGAACTTTCGAGTTACATACACCGAATGATACAGCTGTCCTTCAACAGTCCTGTAATTCATCAACTACTGAACCTGAATGGGACTCATCAGATAATGAAACCCTGGAATTCAAGACGTATGTTTTCTGCAAACGACAGGCCTGCTTCTACTGTCAAATGGAAGAAAGATCAGATTGACTACACTCACACACCTATATCTGATGAGTTTAGATCATGTGAGGAACTAAAAAATAGGTTTTCTGGAAAAACTCCGCTTGAAATATTTTTTATGTTTTTTGAACTGATAAAATTATTACTCAAAGAAATCTTGCACCTGCCATAGATGAAGTGCGTTATGATAATCAAGGTCACCTCATGATTGTTCATGCTAATAAAGCCCGAAGGAGATGTAGAATCTGCCACAGCCACACAATTTACGTTTGTAATAAGTGTAATGTGCATTTACATACTTTATGCTTTGTAAAATATCACCAAAAATGAAACCGGGTGTTACCAGTGGTGCGCTCACGCACCATAAAATATTATGCGTTTTTTTGTATCAAATCAGGTTCTATTTGGAAAACAATCTACTTTTAGTTGTTTTTTGTCGAATTTGAACTCTCTTTTGTATATGAATGTATAAATTATATGTTACATCTTATGTGCCCCAAAACATTATTTAATGTTTTTTCCCAGTGGTTCGTTTACGCACCAGTATTTTTTTGTATGTTTCGAGTTTTTAATATTTTTTTTGACACATGTAATGTATTATTAAGTGCAACAAAATAAATTATTTCAGAGCAAAAAAGTATTTTTTAATTTTTTTTTATGCGTGGGATAATATGGGTTAATATCATACTTAGTATACTGAAGTTGCCTTCTTGCAGAATCTCTTTGATGTTTCAAAGCTTGGACGTGATTGACCATAAGCTGAACAGATTCAGTCAACCGATCTTCATGCTGTACGGCACCATATCGCTCAGCCGCGATTGAAGCTAACGACGAAGCCTTCGTAATAATTTCTATCTAAAGGGCAGAATTGCTATGTTTAAATATTCGTTCTTTAAATTTATATTTACGCATCTTTGAACTATTTATATCACTTACTTGGGCTAACAATATAGACAGCAGTTCGGCACTTTCAAAATCGGTGCATAAAGGTTCCAGCAAAGCCAATTTTCCTCTTAGTTTTTCAATTTCCTGGGCCAAATTGTTTTCCGTCTGATCCCGAGTTCGTCTTTGACGCTCACGACGATCTTTGATTGTGGCGGCATCTATTGCGAACGCTAATGACAAGCTGGTGAATTTTTGTTCCAGCGTCTCCTCACTTAGAAGTTCTCTAAATCCAAAACATATACGCATTAAAACTTGCCTTCATCCAAAGTGGGTCAACATAAATAAAAACTAACCAAAACCAAAACATAAATGCATTAAAACTTGCACAATGACCAAAGAAGAGTGGAAAAATGACCCACCAATAAGGCCAGAATTAATCTGGTATAAAAAATCAAGAACTAGAAGCTAGGTTCATCCAGGACGAAAGCCCTATTCTGTTCGTAATAAAAAAAATAATAAATGAGAGCCAGCAGAATAACAGCAGTATAAGATAGCAAACCTTTTTATGAAGTGGCTAAGCCCTATGAAAAAGCAACCATCACAAACAATTCCAATAATGGAGAGACACGCCATGGCAAGGACAAGTCAAGGAATTCCAATTTACAGCAGACCTGCTGAGCTATGAAAGGAAGACCGTAAGAATAATGGTAGCTCTACTGACAACATAATGGTAGTGAAAGAAGGCAAAATCTGTCAGGAAGAGGAAGAAAAGGCCGTACAGATGCCATCAAGACGACTTTTTTATCCGGTCAGAGGCAATACCACTACCGGAGCTGCTGAGTAAAGTTAACTACACAAAACTATCTGTACCTATACTGATAATACTGAATCAACAAGAAATAATAATATGCTCCTATGCAAGTCATTTCAAGCCTCACTTTCAATCTATAAGTGTTCACCACGACCGCCAATAGTTTGAAAGATTTTAATTTGTGGCCTATTTGTATGGAGATTGTCGAACAAAAATGATGTAAAGTGCAGGTTGGTGTGTGCAATTTACTGTACTATAACATTATAGTCGCCTGAGAGGTCTCAGTTTTACCCTCTGTAAGCTACACTGTTCTATTGAATATTTTGTTTTCCTATAATTCCATTTAAAAACAGAGATTTTGAGGGAATGTCAATAACTAACAACTAAGTTATCTTAGGAATATATTTTTCTTACTTTGGGGCATCTCCATGAAGGCCCATCCGTTCAAGGACCGAATTCGGAAGACTAGGAAATGCGTCGGCATTTCTTATGCTGTTCGCTCTCACCGCAGCTCCATCGGAATTGGATCTGGCTCTATGATAAGTTGGTTCCTGAAAAATGCATTAAATATTTTTATATTTTTTGTAGCGTTAACGATCTTATATCTAGGAAACACAAAGGAAAACAGCTACATTTTTCAACTTAGGTAAATAAATACATAATTTGCACACAGTTCACCTGAGTATATTTTGCTTAGCTCTAAATATGTTATCGATAACGTCAGTAACTTTGTAAATTATGATACATAAAACAAACTTTTACCACTACCCAAGTAAATTCAAAAACCGATAATTTTTAATTTATAGTCCGGCTATCTGGTAGATATAAAATTGATGAATAACTTGTTATTCTAGATTTCCAAGCTCAAAAGTTGTGGTAAACATACAAAGAGGTGCGCGAAATGTGCGCGTGTCGTTTAAAACAATAGGTTAACCATGTTTTCTAATTGAATGTTAATAATTAATGGGACGATATCAACATATGTCCTAAATGTCTTAATTTTTGAGATGCAGGGCGGAATTTCACTTATCTATTGTCCATTGTGCAGACATTGATTTCTCTTAAAATAAAACTTATTCGCTTAAAAAAATAAAAACCTCTTACATAACAATATCTTTAATGTGACCGAAACAGGTACTTTGAAGGAAAATAATCATTTAAAAGGGACCAATCGAACTGTAAAAAGTCCAGAAATTGAATTAAATTCTATTGATGAAAATTATGAACTTAGTACCAGAAAAAATGGAAATAATCTTAATATCTCGCACGTCTTGGTTTGGAAAATTTTGCCCGATTTTTATCGTAACCCATATCATATTCAACGAGTCCAAGCGTTACCTCCCAGAAATTTTCCCTTTACGTTTGTGTTGGAATTGTTGGAGCCCTTTTCCTGCCAGAAATTCTAAATGAACATAATTATCGCCGGATTTTAGAAGAGGATTAGCCAATATTGTTAGAAAAGTTACCATATTTAATTAAGAACAGAATGTGGTTCATACATAGCGGCTTGTAAGAGAATATTTAGATCACACATTTAATAACCGATGGATAGATTCAAATAGTTTGGGCTTTTCCTTTTGCTGCATATACGTGGAAAAGAGCTGAATCGTGTATCCTTCAAAGCGGAGGACACTTTCAACTAGTTTCTATGTTCCACTTTTTTCAAAAAGTTTGATATTAATTTATTAATAGAGAACTTTGTGAAAAATTATTAATAGTAGGTAGGGTTTTCTGTTGAATAAGAATCGTTTATTATTTATCTTGTTGTTAGGATATTATGTTATTTCATTAAAACTGTAAAAGTAAAAAAGAACAGCCTTTATTTTTTTTTTCTAGTTGCTAACTAAAAACTAGGTATTTTGTCCATTTAGCCAGTGCGGTGGCGACCTAATTAACCAAAACGTTATTTTTTTATAGACAGTCGCCGGCACGCCACTGATTTCCTTAAAAAAAATAATGACACTTGCATTCACTTTTTTTTAGTCAGTCGCACGGCTTTCAACATAGAAACTAATTTCTCTGCGTGCTGTCATATTAACGATAGCGTACATCAGATTGAAAAAAATCAAGAAATTAAATTTCTTTAAAAATGATTTTGTTGTATAATCAAGGGAGGTTGACGGACTGAAGCAATGTTGCCAGTACTGGACATCGCCGAGGTTTTTTACCGAAACACTATACACAGAATAATATTTTTCTACTTCCGTCTGTAAAATACCTAATTATGCACCGATCTAGCGTGCGGGAAGCGTCGCTTTACGACGTCAGTTTCGTTTTCCATGAATCCGAGCCACTTCGGATTCGTGGACGGGATTTTACCGCACGGGTTTGGGAGCAATGGGATGTTTTCGGAGATATTTCCCACGCTTTGTCAGCGAATGTATTCGTGATTTGCGAAAATATACCCAAAAACTAACGGTCGTAGAAAAAATATAGTATGCAACACGTTCGGTAAACTTTTTAACTCACTCGTTTATTAAAATCTCGCTCCGCTCGTGTCAAATAAACTCGTGAGTCAAATGCCGTTTACCGCACTTGTGGCATAATATACTATTTCATACATTCCATAGCAAGGGTAAATTAGAATTTCACTCAATTTACGTTAATAAAATGTCCGTTAAATTGTAAATATTATAAAATAAAATATATATCTTTTTTAACAATAGGTTTGTCTTTTTTTGTGTATTTCTGTTTAGTATTCTGTATTGTAGATTTTCAAATAAAGATCAATCGCATCGGATGTGGTTTGCATTGAAAGTGGGTCAAGTTTGTTTAGTTTAACTATTTATAATATATAACAAAAGTTTTGATATTGTTACCATCGTAACTATTCATATTTAAGCAACACTAATCGCTCCACTAGTTCCTTGTCTAAATGCAGTCTATTGGCTGAACAACAGCAATTGTCTGAATGAGTTACTCGGTCTCTTTAAGTTGGACGTCTGTGAGTACAGCTATGAAAATAAAATTTTGGCCTTGCCTCTCTGGTTGAAGCAGACTTGAATCATTTAAGGTGGTTTATGAATTTTTTAAATCCGATAACGATTGTCTTAAAAGTCTCTGTATAACAACCAATTTTGTTTGTGTCAAGCACATTAAAGTTCGCATAGTTTACCTTATTATTAAATAAAATCAATTAACATATACTTCTCAGTTCCAAGAAACAAGTGTTGGTCTAAGTACATTAAATTGATTAAAACTATAAATGGTTCAAAGTATACATGTAGACAATTCATGTGTTTTACAGTATTATCTTGTAAAAATACATGCACTGCTAATCAGTACGGTAATGAAGCATTTATTTGGGTAACTACTTATCGCGAATTTGTATTTGCGAATTCCCGTGTTTTTTGGTTTTTTTCCAACATAGAAAAATGGAAACATATCTTTTAATAGATGTAAAAAATTTGACAAATACTTTAAATATTAATAATTAACAATTGACCAGTCATATAAATTATAAACGGTCACTGTCCTCAATAACCAATAAGAATCTGTCGTAAGAATATAGAGCTCAAGTTTTACATAAAAGGGATAAAATCGCTTTACTCTTAGAGCCCTATTATAAGTACTCCATTACGACTTTTCAAAATAAACTAGCTATCGCGAGAGATAATTAGCTTGTCGTCAAGCAATTTTAAAAGTCAAATTTGCGCAAAAGTGTTGGGTTCAAATTTCTACCTACTAAATCGCCACATGGCAACAAACTTCTGTGGTAACATTTTGCAATAAGCAATACGCCTTAAAATGTATGCCGGATAGGAAGTTGTTTAGGTGTTTTGCCAGAAAAATCCTTTCACCATATCTGTTAATTTCACTATTTGCATTTTTTGCAGCAATTTAATTTACAAAATCAAAGCTGATATATGTAAGGCAACCATATTTTGTTTTAATAAATTCTAATTAATATTGTTCTGCCTAAACCTTATATGCAGAGTTCATCTAACGAATCTCATGAAGTACGGTTATCAAATAGAAAAGTTTATATTTACGCCAAGATGCTACATTTTCAAAACGGCTCTATTTCTCTCTCAAAAACTAAAAGAGTTATCAACTTCTTAAAAATATTCCTTCAAAAAAAACAAGGACAACAAGTACAAACAAGTATACAGTTTTATGGTGCCCAATGACCATTTTGCATTAAAAAGTGATCCTCAAAAGAAATTTAAAATTTTTGGTTAGTCTTAACTCTATATGGAGATAAAAATTTGCTATTCACCGTCGTGTGCAATGGTGATAGTTTTTAATAAAGGAAATATCAAAGAGGAAACTTCGTTTCAGTTTTGATTAAACCACTCAAATATGGAGCTCATCTCTATAAGTGAGCATTCATCCCTGTAATTAAAACCGTAATGGCGTATTACCTGTGTAATACTACCAAAAATATACTGCATTTATTGTTTTGACGATTTAAGTTTTTTCACTGGATAGTTCAAGGGGTAAGGGTAAGTACCTGTCGATTAACAACATTCTTCTTCTTGTATTTTTGTGTCTTCCACATAGTTTTCCGATTTGTAAACAACAGTCATTTTTAATGCTATAGATTATAATTGCGATAGATAAAGGTACGTCACAAGACTACAGATAAATATTTATTGGAATCTTACAATTAAACATTTGTTTTGGTTCCTGTTTTTTAACACTTTAAAATTGGAGACCCTCGATGAAGCAGATGTTCCCCTGATAGAAGCAGACATGTAAAACAAAGCAAAATTTGAAGACGAAATAGAGATGGTAGTCGAACCTAATGACTATTTAGAAGACGAACGACCTCAGCAAATAAAAAAACGGATCCATTTGTCTTCGGATGCTAAACAAATTGTTTTGAATGTTTACAATTTTATAAGAAATTCAAAGGGAAATTAGGAACAGCAATAGAAACAAGTGTACTAACTGTAAGAAAAAATGTTGGAAATGGAATGGTCAAGAGGATAGTGAGAGAAGATACTGGTACTTCTCGAGTTTTTAAAAAGCAACATACAGATCTAATTAGGCGTATAATCTGCGCCGCTTATAAAGTTAATAGTGTTTTGACCCTAGAACGACTGCATAAAAATGTACTGACCGATTTTCAGTTCCAAGCAATTGATAAACGTCAAGTTCTAATTTCGCAAAGGAGCGTGAATTATGTAAATGCAATTGAATAGAGGTAGCTAAAATATCAGTACAAAGCTGGTTTAATTGTGAAAAACGAGTAATAAATGAAGAAAATATTTATCGAGAACAATTAGAAGCGGAGTTGATCATTGATCTAGGTGACGACAGTAGCGATTTTGACGATTTTTAATATTTTTAATTTTTAATTAATTAATAATTTTTAATATGTAGAAATGTAATGAAATAGAACCCAATGAATTGTTGCTTTGTACATGTTTATGTACACGTTTCGACAATTGCTCGGTGAAAAAGTTTGAAAACTTATATAGATAAATTCTTAGGACGGTCCTGGAATTTTTACGGGTATTCGTCAGGGTATTCTATAAGGGGCTGCGGTTTTATAGTAATAAACAGTAGGCAAAATTAATCACTCGCACTCTATTTCGCTTTTGCT